TATCCTAATTATAAACACAGTAATGAAACAAGGAACGTAATAAATGCTACGGTACGAGTAGGAATTTACTCATTTAGCGAATAAATCTTTCTTCAAAAACACTTTTATTCCAATTTAAATCGCTTCCCTCTTTACAAATTCAATTACTTACGAACTAGGCACTTTGTAAACATCTATCACGATTCCTGTATGGAAAACTTTTCAAGTGTTACTGGATTATAAAGGAATAAAGGACAAGCGTTTGAGGGTTCTTTAGGTTTTCGCTACTCAAAAAGGAACTTCAAATCACGTTAATAATATAATTGGTGTGCGAAACAGTTCCAGGTATACAGAGCGTAAATTTTAACTCTGAACACACAAATCTCCTATGCTCAATTTTTAAATATAGAAGTCAAATAATGCATATGCAACCCCTATCTTACCTACTTTTCATCTTTTTCCAATGCTTCTCAATAAACCAAAGAGTAATATTCTTTGAATAAACGTCAACATCTGAATATTATTTATTAAAATATGATTATTGATTATGTTCTTAATAAAATGTACACAAAAGAAGAAAGAAATGGAAATGTTAGAGATGTGTATGTCAATATTGGCTGATAAATATCCAGATTCCGTTTATTGCCACAATTCACAACAGCATTAAGAAAAATTTCATCTTGGTGGGTGAATTGTTAATAAACATTACCCCAGAAAAGACCTTGCCGTGTTTACCGCACGTAGAAGAAAATCCACTTATACCACTGTTCATAATTTATCTAGAGGATTTGAAATTTCACACAATGTCCGTATCGAATTTGACAATTCACAGCAAATGAGTAAAATTCCAGGAACTGAAAAGATACTATAAAACCACTCATGTGTTTACAGAAGGGCATACCCAGTATCCTGAAAAAATGTGTGCTGTATTGTGTGTTGCTATAACTTGGCCCTGAATTGCAATAAGAAAACCTTCTGTTTCTTGTTGTATCTCGTGTTGTATGTTACGTTCCACAGCCATTTGTAACTTTGTTGTGTACTGATGTGTTTAGTTTGTCGTGTGTGGGTGTCTACCGTGTAGTTGTTTGTCTAACCATTGTATTTTTTGTCTTATATTCTGTGATAGTTGTGGATGTATGATGTCTGTAACGAGAGCAGTGATTTTACGCACATTTTTGCGATCTTTTTCATTAATATATGCGGAACAAAAAGTTTCTAGATTTAAAAGAAGTCAAGGTTTCAGTAACATTCAACCAAACCAACATTCATGATGTCAAGTCCAGCTTTTATTTTGTCGATTGTAGTTCAGCGAGCTTTATTTGTCATATGTATCATAGCTATGAGTCACGACTTTGTTTTAAATCGTATTTGACGGAAAATTGTTTCGTTTTACACGATAAAAAGAGGTCATATAAGGTTATTTTTCTTACACTGCAAATTAACCTTCCTTGGGAAAAGATAAGTAAATTCTGTTAAATCAGCGTTTTCTGTAGACAGCCTTACAGTTGGCGAACCAATGAAAATTAACACAGTATCTTCGCCATTACTATTCCACAATGAAATAGGTGTTTTAAGTCAACTTAGTGTAGACAGAGGGGATGAGCTTTGCACGAAATAAGGGATTCGCGTTTGAGTCGTAGAGATGGTAAGAGATTCTGGTCTTGGGGATTCAAATGGCAGCACCCTGTTTGTTATACCTTCAATTAAAGATGAGAGAAATTTCAGTTGAACTTAGGGAAATGTAGGGGAATTGTGGGGGAACCTGAGGGAAAATGGAAGAGAACTTGAGGAAAATCTGAGACGAACTTGAGGGTAATACGAGAATGTGATTGGAATATGAAGGTAGCCTAAAAAAACAAAGTGAACATAATAATTTTATAGAAACTTGTGAAAGATTTGACAGGATATTGACACCAAATTGGAAACACTTTTAACAAGACATTGATGGAGGTTTGAGGGGAATCTGAAGAAAATTTAGGAACTAGAGAAGTACCTTACCTACTCACAAGAACTTTAGGGAAATTTGACGTTTTTAAACTAAGAGGAGTGATTTAAATAGCTCCCGCGAAAAATCTGCATTGTGATTGGCTTATACGGTGCCGTTTTTACACAGACGCAATTTGAGGATCTTGACAATTCAGTTGACAT